TGTGCTAATTCCTCATCCCTCGCCCCTGCCCCCTCATCCCTTACCCCAGCTCTAAGCTTATCTTTTCCCGTCCCAGAGGTCAGAGTGGGGAGGGAGGGAGGGCAGCTGCTTCTCACGTTACTTGGTACTTTTTAAACGTGGAAAGTTTCGAGGCTTTTATTTTAAGGGTTGTCAAAAAGCCCTTCTTATCAAAACTCACCAAATCAGAGCTGTGCAGGAGTCAATCTCCTGCACCCTTTTAAACCTGTCAAGGAGGATAATAGCAGTAATCACGGTGCATTTATTGAGCCTTTGCAACCTGTCAAACACAGCGCTAGGCACGATCCCCAGTGCCGACCTGCCAAATGTTCACAATCGTCCCGAGACAGGTATTTCAATCCTTATTGATGGGAAAACAGCAACCAACACCTTAAGGAGTTTAGTGAGTGAGGCGATTGCAGAATGGCTGAGTGACGCAAGATCATTGAGTTTGTGTCCTGCGTAGAAGTGTTGGCGTCAAGGACCTTGCATGTCCAACTTGGGAGCCTCCTTGGATGTCACCTCCTGGACACTGTTGATAGGCAAGCTTTCTCTCGTGCCATGCCGAGACATAAACCTGGCCAATTTCCAAAGGGACAGACTATGCTGAGGGGGTGGCGGGGACAGAGATGAGCTTTGCAGGAGCAGGTAAACAATTGGTGCTGAATTGACTCCCGATCTTGCTGCATTGCAACAAATACTTCAGCACCAGCTAGGATGGGGACTACAAAGAGATCACTCTATTGCAGAGCCTGCAGGGGTTCAGAGCTAAGAGGAGACGACAAAATGAACTCCATTCCAGGGTAGACCAGGCACAGTGCTAAGGGAGGGGGAAGGAGGGAGTGCTGCACTGAAGCACCGTCAGGTTGCACTTCCCAGAGAGGTCTGCCACGCTCCCAGAAGAGTACGGTTGCAAGAAGAGGCTCTCTTCTCCCTCAGTGGAAAACAGATGATTACAGTGAAAAGTGTTTTTGCAAAGTTTGTAGGACTGAATTTTGTTATAAGAGATAATGAGCGTGGAGGTACTCTTAAAGAAATTATTAGGGAAAGAGAGAGGGAGGGAGATTGTCCATCTGCTGGTTCATTTTCCAAATGCACCACCCTCCCTGCCCAACTCCAACCAGGTCTCCCATGTGGATGATAGAAATCCAATATTTGAGTCAACTTGTCCCTTGCAGCTGCCTGGTCTGCACTAGCAAGAAGCTGCAGTTAGGGGTGGAACCAAGTATTGAACCCAGGCATCTTGGTACAGCTCTGTCTCGTGGAAGTCCTTTGAGTCTTTTAAAGCCCTTTGCTGCCCTGCGGTGAGAGTTGCAGCCACAGTAGTGGGTGTAGAGAGACAAGCAGAGGGATAAGGACAGGGTCTAATGTATCACCGTATCCTCCTTCCTAGCATGGGCTCAGGAATATTCATGGAGGGAACCAAGGAAATGAGAGATTCCAGGAGTACATGGCCGAGGAACATGACCCACCCAGAAGTGGCCACTGGATTTGGCAAGAAGAAGTAGCTTCTGAGGAAGGATGGTTAAACACTGAGGGGGGAGGGTGGCAGGATGGGAGGGTGATCTATCGGAGAAGCTAGTTGGGGAATGTAGAGAATTAGGTTGTGTCATTGCTGGAATGGCCATTTGCTGATTTATAAAAATGGTTGTGAAGTCACTGTAGGGAGTGTAGAGGGAAGGAGAGAGGAGGGGAGGGTGGAGTGTGGAGGCTGCCGTTCCCCGGGAGGGAAGGAGAAGACAGCTAGAGAGGCAGAGGCAACACTCGGGGGACCCTCATTCAAGAGGAAGGGACTCCTTGCAAGAGAACAGATCTCTTCTTTAGAGACCAGAAATGTGTTTGAGCACATAATCCTATTTTTACACCTTGCTATTACCAGGACTCCTGAGGATGCCCCTGTGTGTGCCACGTGCGACCTTTGCTCCTCTGTCCTGCCTGGCCGGGTCAGGCTTTCCCTGTGGCAGCAGGTCTCAGGTGAAGCTGGGATGCACCTGTGTGCACGTTTAAATCCATACCTAAGGTGGTGCATGCGTAAGTAAGTAGGCATGTGTATAAATCCTTCTGAGTGTGTGTTTCCAGGACTGGTGGGACTCTGTCTTTTTTTAAAGATTTATTTTTTATTTACTTGAGTGGCAGGGTTACAGAGAGAAGAAGAGAGACTGAAAGAGAGAGAGAAAGAGATCTTCCATCTGCTGGTCCACTCCCCAAATGGCTGCAACAGCTGGGGCTGGGCCAGGCTGAAGCCAGGAGCCAGGAGCTTCTTCCAGGTCTCCCACGTGGGTGCAGGGGCCCAAGCACTTGGGCCATCTTCTGCTGCTTTCCCAGGCCATTAACAAAGAGCTGGATCAGAAGTTGAGCAGCCAGGACTCAAACTGGCACCCATATAGGATGCTGGCATTGCAGGCATTTATATTAACCTACTATACCACAATGCCGACCCTGACTCTGTCACCTTGCATGAGAGGGAGCTGAGGCCCACGAGTGGCAACTGGGTTCAGTTTTGTTGTTCCCCCAGTTGCCAGCCAGCTCTGTGCCATGCATCTGGTAGAGAGGGAGCACGTGTCTGGTTAGCGGTGGTAATGTGAGAATTCAGATCTTCTGATGGTCACTGTCTTTCCCATGACAGCACCCTGAGTTCTGCATATTTTATCCCAACATCTCTGCAGACTTGCTTTGTTGGGCTCATGAAAGACATCGCTCTATTCATGGAGTACATTCACTCTGCAGACTTCAGGTCAGTCACCTGAGGGGCCTTCCTCTGCGCCATACCCTGGCCTTGGCACTTCTTTATGCCTCACTGCCACTACCCTACTTTCTGCCTCCTTATTGAAAATTAAAAACCAGAACTTCTCACCTCCTCTCCTCAATACTGTATTGCTTGCAGTAAAAGGAGGCCTTGTGCTTAAAAAAAAAAATGAAAAAAGAAATGATAATGATAATGTGAAAGGGTACTGGCTTGGGCAACTTTCGGTCTTTATTTAAGCGAGAGGTTCAGGGATTGCTGTTGTTTTTGTTGTTGTTTGCTTCTCGTGGGGTGGCATCCAGTATGCCAGTGTTCACGGAGTGCCTTGACTGCGCTATCGCTTCTCCTAGGGTAATTATAGGTTGGCATAATGTACCTATTGTTCCTTCCACAAAGAAGCACTGTCATGGAGTGATGGCATGGGGCTGGGGGGTGGCGTGCAGTGTGGATCTGGAAGATCTTTGTGTCTGTGGGGTGCGTAGCTCTTGGACAGTCGGGCTGCATCCTGAATTATTTTTCTTATCGCCTTCTTTGGATCTCTACCCACACCGCCCCATTTCCCTAGTGGTTTGTCCCCCATTGTCCTCGCCAAGGTCCTGTTTTTAGCTTCTCTGCTGTGTTCCCTTCTGGGGTTGTCCCCAAGTGCTGGGCATGGTGACTTCAGAGATGCTGAGCCAGGACGTTGAAGGAAGTGTTTAAAATTCTTTCCATGGAGTTGTGTGCCTGAGTGTGACAGGCTCAAGGGCTTATAGCATTGCCCATGACCTCAGAGGTCAACGAGGCCAGCCCCTGTCGCTGAACGTGTTTGCATTTTTCGTTTGAGTTGTTCAGAGCCCTTTGCACTGCAAAGCTCATGAAACTTTCTGGAATGCACTGGATAATGCAGGCACTCATTCATTCATTCATTCATCGAGTGCTCAGTGTGAGGCCAGGCTGTAGGCGAGACGGTGAGGCTGTAGTGATGAGGGGGGGAAAGGACACCATTCCTTTCCTGGTGGTGCTTCCACTGCAGTTGCCCACCCAGTCAGGTCGACGGTCTGCAGTGCTTCTGTGGAATCCAGGGCTGGGTAACATGCCCAACTTGTCCCTTGCAGCTAGAAATTAGAACTGGGTCTTTACGGCCCTTGTGCCTGCCATCACCACACAGCGCCTCCTTTTTATCACAGCGAGCTCTCTTAGACTGAGCTTCCCCTTGGAGGTTTTCATGGTTGTATCTGTCTCTGGTTTCTCTCTCTCTCTAGGCCCTGCTGCACTGGGGCTGGTGGTCATGCTTAGGGAGGATTTTGACTCCAGCCATAAGCAGCTTTTTTTTGACCAAGGATCGTTGGCATCTGAACGAGGTGATTGCCAACGTGGCCATCCTCCTCGGAGGCCGGGACCTTCGTACTCACTCTGAGAGAGGTGGCGGCAGCCTTTAGCTCAGACTCTACAAGGCCTTTGGACTGAGGTTCTGGAGAGAAGCTTAGAAGGAGAGGGGGCCTTTTCCGCCCTTGGAAGGAATCTGCCTCCGTTGCCCTGCCTGGGGATGCAAATGTTATACTGAGGGATGCTCTTTGTCTGACGTTCACGTTTAGCTGGAGTTCTGTATTTTATCTGTCAACCTTTTGGGGCTTGGGTAGGTGAGGGTTGGGCTGTAGTACAGAGGTGGACAATGGCCCAGGGACCCTGTGCCCCCCTGGTGGTGATGAAGGCTGGATGTGGTTATTGGAGCGTGGAGGCCCCGAGGTGCGGTGTGGGGAGCAACTCGGACTAGACTGTTACTGGAATTAAGACTTATTCTATGCATCTGCTCTCCCACAATATGGCGCTGAGAAGGGAGTAACAATTCTACGCAGCTGCCTCCAGTCCAACCAATAAGCAGCAGGACCTGCTCCTGATTGGAGGAGAGCAGCGTACTCGGCATGTGGGTAGCAGAGTTGGGATTGGTGGAAGAGGACTATAAAGGAGGAGAGAGACAACATGCACCAGGAACATCTATCTGAAGGAACACCTGAGCAGCCCCTGAGAGAGCCGGCCGGCGGTGTGCCGCTCCCCCGCGGAAGTGGGGAAAGTGGCAGGGGGAACCGCCCTTCCACGGAGGTAGAAGGGTCGGTAGCCAACCCAGGAAGGACCAGCAGCAAACCCGGGGAGGGCCGAGCAGACAAAAGAACAGCGCAGGGTCTTGTGTCGTTCCTCCACGAAGAGGGAGAGCGACATAATGGTGCCGTGACTCGGATAGGAAGCCTGGGCAGGGTTTAGTGTCGTTCCTCCATGAAGAGGGGGAGTGACATAATGGTGCCGTGACTCGGATAGGAAGCCTAGGCAGGGTTTAGTGTCGTTCCTCCACGAAGAGGGGGAGCGACAGTGCGGCGTGAGAGTGCCCCCGGTCCAGGGCGTCACACTGACAGGCTAGCTGTTGAGATGCCGTGTGTCACCTTTGGAGAAACCACCATGGAGGAGTAGCACTCGTGAGAGTCAAGGGGAAAAGAACGTCCAGGCCTTACTTCTCACCCCGGTTGTGTCTGAAAATACATTCTGTGAAATAAACGAATGCATTCCCTTTGTGTATTTTGGAAGAAGAATCTGAATTCTTTCCCTCTGGTAAGTTAAAACAAACACCAGGTCTGAAACTCAGTGTTCTCAAGGAGCAGTCGGAGGTGTAGCTCAGGCCCCAAGCCCGGGGGCTTGGGGGTGATTCCCTTAAGGTGTGAGCTGAAGTGAGAAGTTGGGGGCCCAACATCTTTGCTCTCACTCCCCGGAGCTGCTTTTGAGCCTTCATAGCCACGTGACTCAAAAGCACGGGGTCACAATGCTAGCCAGGCGCTTGGTGATCAGCTGGTCTGAGAACCAGGGATTCACAGAATACATGGGCTGTAGGGAGTCTCATTTTGCAAATGAAGATACTGAAGCCCAGAAAACTAAGTGCTGGCAGGAAGTGAACCTGGCCCTCAGGTTGTATACAGTGTACACCTGTACTCACCAGCTGGTGCCCCTCTCAGAAAGTAGCAAGTTGAGAGCAGAGACCACGAGTCCTGTCCGGTGGTGTCCTGGAGAGCCCTGTGACGGCCCTGTCCACCCAGCAGTCCCTCTGTTGGCCCTTGCTTGCTGGCACTCACCTGCTGCCTTTGGTTGGTGCCACTCTTGTTGCTTCTGAACAGGAAGTTATTTTCCATGGCTCGTCTTTGGCTGTGTTTCCTTGGCCCTGGGGCTGGGTTCCCGCCAGGTGGATGCCTTGCAAGAGTGGTATCTGCCACGGAGGGTTATTGTTGAAGAAGTTAGTATCTGGGTCCACGGGTGGCACATCTGCTGATATAACCAACTGTGGGTTGAAAGTATTTGGGGGAAAAATTGCATCTATCTTACAAACATACAGATCTGTTTTCTTGTCATTGTTCCCCAAACAATACAGCAAAATAATCATTTCCATAACATTTGTATTATAATCTAGAGATGATTTAAAGGGTGAGGGAGGCTATGTGTAGGTCATATGCAAATAGGAGTTATGTAAAAGATCATGGAAAAATGAAATTAAGAGATAAGCTATTTTGATGCCAAAAAATTTGAAATCCATGAGTAGTTGTTTCATAATACACATTTCCATGAACTTTTTGAAAGTCCTTCATACTACGCCATCCTCCACACTCGGTGTTTGCATCCATTGATTTGGTATCTGAAGCCACTTGCCGTGGGCATGAGGGTGACTGCCCTTCCTACCCCTTGGCAGCTACCCTGCGTTGATGTCCTTGGAACATATGTGTGTGTGTGCGATTCTGTTTTTTTCCCACTGTGATTTGCCTTCAGTCCCTGGATGTAAAGGAGGCTTGAGAGGCGGAGTCCTCAGTTTTGTGTCTGTGCCTTGTCTGGGGTGGTGTACCCAAGCGTGATGGGCTGTGTCCAGGTGCTGTGCAGCCTGGGGCTACTCTCCTGGCCTATCCCTGCTCCACAGCCACGTCCTGAGTGAAGGGACAGCTGGACCCACCTGGCTGTGGCTTCACTCCTTGGCAATCCCTGGAAGGAGTCTTTCGCTGAAGACTTTGTGATGACTTCCCAGATCCGAGTAGCTGCTGGGGATGGAGGAGAGGCTACTTTCTGGGGTCAACTCTTCACCTGGCGCAGCTCCCTCTGAATACCAGGCATGGCTCTCCTGGGGCTGCGTTGTTGATGAGATTGTGTTTAGCACCCTAGCTTGGGAAGGAGAAGAGTAATGACAGGCGCATCCTACCCAGAGACTCATCCTCCTTACTCCAAAGACCAAAACCAGACAAAGTCTGCCTGTGCTTATCTCCTTGCCCAAACTATCAAATGGTACCCCGACGCTGACGTGCTGTGGCCTGAAGTTCTACTTTTTCAGTTGCATCATGCCTGTTTGTGTGTAGGTTCAAAGTTGTAAATGCAGAACCACTTACCCCAGTCCCTCTGCCTCTCTTTCCCCCTTCCCTCAATGGATTGATCCACCCATATATCCTTCCTTCCATTTTATGACTCCTGAATCCAGTATGTGCTGGCAAGCTTATGCATTTAAAGGGACCAGGCAGGTAAACCACACAAGGAGAACGGAATAGGTAAAGAGGGTAGGGATTGGTGGGGAGTGTGGTGAGCAGAAAGGAGCGGTTCTCTGAGCTGACGTGTGCAGCATTCCCTGGCTTGAGCGTCCTCTCAGGTTTGCTGTGTGCTGCTTGAGAACTGTGGTGACCCCAAAGCGGCTGGGCTCCAGCAGGTGCTTGGATGGGGCCCCTGGGCTCTTCCTCAGCTTTAGAGGGTCTACTGGAAAATCAAAGCATGCACTGTGGATTAGGGTTTTTTTAAGACTGGAAGTGGCAAGAATGAGTGCTCGAGCCCGGAGAAGGATTCAGGGGCTCGTGCAGCTGCTTGTGCCTGGGCCTGCGGGCTGGGAAGGGCCATCCGGACACCTGCCTCTGCCTTCACCACGCAGCTCCTCTTCCCTTTGTGCAGTCCTCCTTCACAGGTGGGCCCTCGTCTCGGGCGGCTCCGAGCAGCTCCAGGCACACGTTCCTCTCTGCTTTTCCATGCCCAGGGAAAGCTCCTCTGTCTCCCAGACGTTCCAGGATTGACTCCGATTTTCCTGCCTCAGACCCCACGTGCGTCCTTGAACCTATCACTAGGGTCTGGGGAGGTGCTGCTGTTCTTCCTGGCCAGGGCTGCTCACAAGCCTGCTTCTGCAGTTGGCAGGGAGAACGGGACTGCTGCTGCTCAGCTGATGGTGAGAAAGAGGTGGTTCCCCAGAGGAATGGGGAGACATTACTAGAAGGAGAGGGGGTGGCAGCTGGGCAGGCAGACATGCATGCCCACCACGAGGCGGAAGGGTTCGTGGAAAGAATGGATCCTTACAGCTGCATTGGGAAGTATGACCCAGCACTCTGAGCAGGGCCGCAGCAGCCCATCCCTGTAGCTCTGTGTTGCCTGCTGGTCTGAGTAGGGCACCCCTGACATCTGCTGCTCAGCGCGGTCTTCCATGGGTACAGACTGCCTTGCCTTGTCTCCTACATACTCCCAGAGCTGTGAATTTTGAAGGTCTTGGGGGTTTTGGGAGAAGGAAGTAACCCAGGAGGGTCCTGCTGAGCAGTCAGTGAACATCAACTCATTCTGCCTGTGTCAGAAGAGTTGCCCAAATGGAGGGTTTGCTTTCAGCAGTGCCAGCCTGGGCTCTGAACTCGGCTGCACTGGTGCCATGACTTGGCCCGAGGCAGGAGCTGAGGCCCTGGAAGAGCTGTCGTTGGAATTCGGAGCCTCTGACTTCTCGCCCTGGGCAGAAGCTGCTGGAAGGGGAGAGGGGCCAGATTGCATCCTCAGCAGCTGGCAGCCCTTGGTGCAGCTCAGTGGAGACCCAGAGTTCTCTACTGGGACACCGGTCCCAGAGAGTAAAATGTGCAGGTGTCAGATCTGACCTTGGTCACAGGTAACCCTCAGTGCTGGAAATGCCAGCTCTTTCCAGATTGAGCAACAGTTTTCTCTGCTCTCAAGCATAATTTTAACTGTATCCTCCCTAGGGCTTTGCTTGTTTGTTTGTTGTTGAAAACATAGCTACCAAAATGCAGAATATTAAAAGGAAGATAGCAAAAGGACAAATGGAACTTTTAAGAGGATCTGTTACTAGAATGCTAGAGTGGCTGGCGTTGCAGTGTAGCAGGTAAAGCCACTGTCTACAGTGCTGGCATCCCATGTGGGCACTGGTTTGAGTTCTGGCTGTTCCACTTCTGATCCAGCTCCCTGCCAATGCACCTGGGAAAGCAGCAGAAGATGGCCCAGGTCCTTGGGCCCCTGTACCCATGTGGGAGACCCAAAAGAAACTCCTGGCTCTTGTATTTGGCCTGGCCCAGCCCAGCTGTTGTGGCCATTTTGGGAGTGAAACAGTGGATGGAAAATCTCTTGACCTCTCTGTCTGTCTCTGTCTCTCTTTGTAATTCTGCCTTTCAAATAAATAAAGTAAATATTAAAAAAAAAAGAATGATAAAAAGTACCAAAAATATTCTGCTGTATAGATGAAGTAGAATTGTTGATGACAGGAAACGCTGAAGGGCCTTAATACACTATTTTATTTGCTATAACAACCTAAAGAGATTGAGAGGGAAGGGTAATTTTTTAATATCCACTTTATAGGTATAGAAATGGTCACTACAAGAACTGGCAATGTCTCCTAGTTATTGAGAGAATTAAATCTGAAACCCAGGTCTCTGAACAACTAGTTTTATTTATTTAAACATTAAAAAATTATCATTTTTTTAAGCTTGAGAGGCAGGGAGAGAGATAAGAGAGAGAGAGAGGGAGAGTGAGAGCACTCCCATTTGCTAGTCCACTCCCCAAATACTTGCAAAGGCCAGGCCTGGGCTGAGGCCAGAGCCAAGGAGCTGAGAACTTAATCCTGGTCTCCCATCTGGGTAGTAGAAACCCAATTACTTGAGCTGTCACTGCTGCCTCCTGGGTTTTGCATTGACAGGAAGCTGGAGTCAGGAGTCAGAGCCAGGAACTGAACCCATGCAATCCAATGTGAGGCAGGGGTGTCCTCACTGCTAGGCCTAGTCAGTTTTTTTCCCCAAGATTTATTTATTTATTTGAAAGGCAGAGTTACAGAGAGGCAGAGGCAGAGAGAGAGAGAGAGAGAGAGAGAGAGAGAGAGGAGAAAAGGGTCTTCCATGTGCTTTTTCATTCTCCAGTGGCTGCAACGGCCGGAGCTGGGATGATCCAGAGCCAGGAGCTTTTTCTAGGTCTCTCATGCAGGTGCAGGGGCCCAAGGACCTGGGCCATCTTCTCTCACTTTCCCAGGCCATAGCAGAGAGCTGGATTGGAAGTGGAGCAGCTAGGACTCTAACTGGCACCCATATGGGATGCCAGCATTGCAGGCAGTTGTTTCACCCGCTATGCCACAGTGTCAGCCCCCTAGTCAGTTTTTTTTTTTAAATATTTATTTATTTATTTGAAAAGCAGAGGCAGAGAGGCAGAGGCAGGGAGAGACAGAGAGAGAGAGAGAGAGAGAGATCGAGATCTTCTATCTGCTGGTTCACTCCCCAAATAGCTGAAATGGCTGGAGTTGGGCTAATCTGAAGCCAAGAGCCAGAAGCTTCCACATGGGTGCAGGGTCCCAAGGACTTGAGGTCATTTTCTGCTGCTTTCTCAAGTGCCTTAGAGGGAGCTGAATCAGAAGTGGAGTAGCCAGGACTTGAACTGGCACCCGTATGGAATGCCAGTACTGCAGGTGGCGGCTTTACCTGCTATACCACAGTGCCAGCTCCTGCATAATCTCTTAAAGTCACCCAAAAAATTAACCAGGAAGTTTGAGATCCAAATTCTAATACAAATGGAATATTCCTTATCTGAAATGCTTGGGACCAGAAGTGTTTCAAATTTAGAGTTTTCTCAAATTTTGGAATATTTGCATATCCTTAGTAAGGTATCTTGGGTATGAGACCCAAATCTAAACACAAAATTCATTCATGTTTCATGTACATATTAGACACATAGCCTGATGGTAATTTATACAGTATTTTTTGTGTGCTTGATTTTGATTGTGACCTGTCACATGAGGTCAGGTATGGAATTTTCCACTTGTGACATCATATCGGTGCTAATGAGGACAGATTTGGGAGCATTTGAGATTTTAGATTGGAGCTGCTCCATCTGTTTACCTGTTTTGAACCTAATCCAAGATACTTCAATGATGAAATTAAGTGACTCCTGACAGTATAGTAAGATAAAAACCCTTGTTTGTTTGATTCTTGCCTTACTTTGCTCAGTTACAAAATGGGAAGGCAGAAAGATTCATGATGGGTATTGTTGACTGCAACCCGCAGCCCAAACTGATGACAACACAATGAAAAGTGACCTGCGGTTGTTTGTAAGATAGAGAGGGATGGAGGATGGAGCCCGAGTTTGTGGGAGAGAAGGGTAGGCCACACCGTGTGTTCTTTCTGCAGAAAGCAGGCTGAGTCCTGGTTCTGGACCATGTTGTGTCTAGGAAATTCTGACCATGTCTCTAGATCTTTGGGTCTCTCTGCTGGGGCCCCCATGAAAGAGCTCAGTATGAAGTGGTCAGTCTACATCTGGCGAGGCAACTGCTGTGATTCCTGGGGCTTGACAGGGCCTGGTGGTATTTGCTGGCAGGCACGTCATGTTATGTTGGTTTATTTAATAACTGGGCCTGATAGAACCAAAACAACAGAATAACAGGAATAGTGGGTGGGTTGTTGGTTGCCACTGACTGAAAATTTATTGTGTGCTGGGCATGGAGTCAGAGATTCTGCATGCATTTTGTTCTTTATTCTTTGTAATACTCGGGCCCTGCGAAGTTAGTTCTTGTAACTAGGGAAATGAAAACTCACACAGATACTAAGTGATGGAGCTGGGATTTGAACCCACAGCTGGGTGGTTCCAAACCCCATGCTCTTAGAGAGCATATACTTTATACTTTTAATTTTTATCACAAAGTAGAACTGCCTCAATACTCTTGCTCTTAGGGCAGAACCATATCCCCCTGCCCCGACTGTCACCATGGCTCGACAATGTACAGACAAGTGTAGTTTGCAGTAGGACTCACCTTTGGTAGACAGGAGAATGGCCCCCTTAGGATGTCCACACCCTAAGCCTTGGAACCTGTGAATATGTTCTTTGCAGATGTGGCAGAGTTAAGATTGTGAGATGGGGAGATTTTCTTGGCTTATCCAGAGGCCCACTGTCAGCCCCAGGGTCCTCATAAGAGGGAGGCAGGACGGCTGGAACCAAAGCAGAAATGACTGTGGAAGTGGAGGTCTGAGTTCTGCAATGGAGGAGGAGGCAGGCCCTCCCCAGGAATAGAAGCAACTTCTTCTATAAGCTGGGAGTGGCTAAAGGGCAGGTCCTCCCTTAGAGCTCCCTGGAGGAAGGAGCCCTGCTGGTACCTGATCCCAGAGCTCTGAAAGACTTGTTTTGCATTTCCAAACTCCAGAGCTGTAAGACATTCGTCTCGACTGTCTTAAGCCACTACGTTTGTGAGAATTGGCTGCACCGGCAACAGGGAGCCAACACGCCACCTTTCCTGAATACTGGTGAATATTCCAGAGCCCCACCAAGCAAAGGCTCCTCCTCTTTTGCGATCCAGTTGCCCTTTAAACAAAGGTGATGGACGCTCTGGCCCACTAAAGGGAAGGTCTGTGCTATGGGTTAGGCCTTCCCTGGTGGGGAAGGTTTTATGCTGAATTATGCGCACAACCAAAGCCATGTTTCTGACCACTGACCCTGCTGGTTGCCCTGGGGGGCTGGCATGGCGGCAGTGGTGGTGGGGCAGCCACAGCCGATGACACTGAGTTCTTTTTTTTTTCTTTTTAAAATACATTCTCTTCCTGCTCATCTGTGTGGACAGAGAAGTCCCTGGAACAGACAGTCATAGTAACAACAGCTGATGCTTACTGATTTCTCACAGTGAGGTTCTCATTTGTTCTTATCAGTGAGCTCACCAGGAGAGTTCTACTAACGTCCCCATTTTATAACGTGACGGAGAGCTCTGCGGGTCAGACAGCAAGTGAACCAGGAGCTGGGGCTCAACCCAGGAACTCAGTGCCAGCCCCGGCCCTTCACGGCAGTGCCCTGCCATCTCCCACGTGGGGCTCTGTGGCCTGGGGTAGACACCCCTTAAATGTTTGATCGCCACTAAGGTAGGTCAGGAGCAGCTTCTTGGGCCCCATCCGCAGGTGGCCAGGTGGACTCATGGGAAGCAGCTGGCCAGCAAGGCGTTCATCCTGCAGGGGCAAGTGTCATGTGGAGCTGGCTGGGTCACTTAGCTCTAATATCTGGGCCCATGGGCAGGTCCAGCTAAGTTCTTGTTGAGTTTGCCAGCATGCCTGATGCCATGAAGCTGCAGAAAACAGGTGTGTGTAGGTGCGTGCATGTGCGCATGTGGGTGGGGGGTCTCTCGTGGGCTCCCTTCCTCCAGGACTCCCCCAGCCACTCTTTGGATGCTCTGAATGACCTGGCTGATGATCCAAGATGGGTGCTGGGTGCGGGCTTCTTAATTTCCTTTCTTCCTTCCTGCATGTGGAAGAGGGATGCGGGGAGAGTGGGAGGATGGAGGTAAGATTAGTGTGAAGCTGCAGGGGAGCCCGTGCCTGGAAATTACCGCCCCCCTTTTTTTTGACAGGCAGAGTGGACAGTGAGAGAGAGAGAGACAGAGAGAAAGGTCTTCCTTTGCCGTTGGTTCACCCTCCAATGGCCGCCGCGGCCGGCGCGCTGTGGCCAGCGCAACATGCTGATCCGATGGCAGGAGCCAGGTACTTCTCCTGGTCTCCCATGGGGTGCAGGGCCCAAGCACTTGGGCCATCCTCCACTGCACTCCCTGGCCACAGCAGAGAGCTGGCCTGGAAGAGGGGCAACCGGGACAGAATCCGGCGCCCCGACCGGGACTAGAACCTGGTGTGCCGGCGCCGCTAGGCGGAGGATTAGCCTAGTGAGCCGCGGCGCCGGCCACCAGTACCCTCTGTTTATTAGCTGCTTGTGGGATGTTTCTTGCCTTTTGCATTCTTCTGTGTCTTGCTTCTGAGAGAGAGAGAGAGAGAGAGAGAGAGAGAGAGATGGATACAGAGTTACCAGTGCTGATGAGCCCTGTGCCAGGTGATGAACAGGAAGGGAGTGACCTGGGCCCTCTCTCCCCTCCCTCTGTCCCCAGGAATGTCCTGTCTGCCTCCATGGTTCTCTTCGCCTGGCTGTCCTCACGCTGGCACTGTCACGTCAAATGGTCCCCTGGCTGCTGGGTGACAATTTTGGTTTCCTTTTCCCCCAGGTCCCCTTCAAGTGATGACTTCCTCTGCGGCAGTGGTCAGAGCGAGGTGATTCTACTGATTGTCCTGTTCATATTTCGCGGGCCTCATTGTGGTTGCTGCCCCGTCTTCATGGGGGACTGAACTTGGAGTGTTGAAGGGAGGGGCAAGGAGAGTTTTTGTTGGGAATGAGTGTTCCAATCCCAGCGGTGTGGGTATGTTTAAGGTGGCATCCGGTTCTGTTCAGCAGTGTCTTTTAAAAAAACATTTAAAGAACATTCTTTGTTGTGGATATTTCCCCCAGTCTATAAAATGCTATGGGGCCACTGCCCTCCGGAAGTCACATGCGCAATCCAAGGCTTGGAGCGGTGGGGGAGGGGAGGACCAGGGCAGCCGTGGCCTGCAGGAGCAGGTGGTGCAGCTGCTGGCTGCTGGGAGGGCTTAGTTGCCTGGGGACCTAGAGCTGGCAGGCAGTCATGGGGACCGAGGTCAGAAGGCTGTGCTGAGCTGGCTTCCAGGGGCCTGTGAGAGCCAGGAACGAAGTGTGGACTATTTTGGGCTGTGCGGTGGCTGCGCTGGGGTGGGGGTGCACATGGGCATGCACATGGGTGAGTGGTTTGCTTCCAAGGATCACTCCCAACACTGGGAGTGTGTGTGTGTGTGTGTGTGTGTGTGGCCTTTGCCTTCTAAAAATGAAAAAGAAAACAGCCCCGAGGGGGGTGGTGGTGGTGGTGGTGGTGGGGAACTTGATGGTGAGCTGCAGGAGGCCCTGGGGAAGCCCCGCCCAGCTCTACCCCTGCTACAGGAAGTCCTCCCCTTTTTTCTACCCCCCACCCCAGCCCCACCCCGCCCCTAGTCTACCCTTCCCTTCTACTTCTGAGTTTCCTTGTGATTGTCCTGGAGAGGTCTGTGCCTGCACGTGTGTTTTCTTGAATTGCGTGTGTCCCAGGATGAGCCCATGGCTCCTGCTTGGTTCCCTGGGGAGGAGTCGGGGTCCATGTACCAGCTTTGTGGATGGTCAGCAAGCACCATGGCTCAATGGCACCATGTCCCGCAGACCAAGTGGCTCTCTGGGCACGTGGGTCCTCCTGCACTTTTTCCTAACTTTCATCATGCTCCTCCTGCCCTCTGCCTCTGAGCTGCCTGCCTGGATGGGTTTGAGCCTGTAACACCCCCCACCCTCCCTTTGCCCCTTGCAGAATGAAGGGACTGGCCATGAGACAGCATGTACTGGTGGGGAATGAGGTCTGTGGAGCTGGCTGACCTGTGTTCTAATCCCACCTCCGCTGCTTAGTAGCCTCGTGGCTTTGGTGCGATTCCTTAACCCATCTGAGAGTCAGCTCCCTCGTCTGTTCCTATGAGGGTGGATGTGTGCAACGTGGTGGCCCAGGGCAGAACCTGTCCCCGTCATAGTTGCTCAGCAAAAAGGGGGCTGTGATGATGGAAGCTGGATGATGCTGGCTGCGTTTGCCCTCCAGGGCCCCCCAGGGGGGATCCCCCACACCCTGCCCAGGACCGGCTTGATCCCAGCACAGGGGATCCCCACGTCGGACCTGGTAACCTCTGCTTTCATTCTTGTTGCAGTCAGGCAGGTTTCATGCTCCTGGCAGGACTCTCTCTGAGCACTGTGTCGGTGTCAGCAAAGGGGCCGGTGGGGCCCAGGCCAGGAGCAGAGCTGCCAGGGCCAACCTTCAAGGCTGGAAATCAGCATTGATTTATAGATCTGGGAGGGAGACAGCCACCCCAGGCAGTGATGGAGAGCCTGATGGAGGCAGCTGCAGCGAGCAGGGGCACGGAAGGGGCAGTGGCAGTGGTGCAGGGGGCAGGCAGAAGCGGGGAAGAGGCCGGGGGGGGGCAGTCACGTGACACGGAAGAGTCAAGGTTCCAGCAGAAAGCAGCATGGAGTGTTCACAGCAGGACTCTCGGTGGAAGTGTGGGCAGGGACGCGTGCGTGTGAGGTG